TTGAGAATGGTACCAAATTCCTGACTACCCTCTTGAGATATCTCAGTAAATATTTGGATACATACTGTGGAATGTGTGAAAGAATATACAATCTAAAAGAGAGGGTACAGGAGAATCATTCAATAATAGAGAAAACAGAAGAAAACCTGAGAAAAAATATGTGGATTTACGTGGACGAAGATTTCTATGCATCCGTAGAAGAAAAAGAAGATGGTAGTAAGTCGTTGTTCTTCGGCGACTACGATCAAGGATTGATGTTGGAATGTAACCCTGATGGAACTTTGATGAGACTGTTGTATTTCTCCTTGGATCGAACCGGATTTACTCAAAGATTATTCAACACACAGAGAACGTTGTCCCAACGTGCTTTTAATGGTGGTCCTCTCTTTTAAACACAGGGATCCCAACATGATAATGTTAACCACAGGTATCCCAGACACTACAGAGACAACTTCTGAATTCAGTTTCAAGTCCTTTGAAGAGAAAGACCAGAGACAACGATGATTTTCCAGAAATGCCTAAACGCCAAAATAAAGAAGGAGAAGAAGAACAAAATGAAGAAGAAAAGCTAGGAAGCAAAATCCAAACTGATAATGAAACAGTAATGATGAAAAGGTAAATCAAACTGATAATGATGAAGAAGAAAAGAAACAAGAAAATGATGATGAAAAGGAAGAAGAGAACAGAGAAGAGGATGAAAGAGAAGAGGATGATACAGGAAAAAAAAGGAGAAGAAAGACCCAACTGTCTGAGACTCAAGATACCACCACCAACATCCAGTAGGCGATTGAGCTTCAGCGAAGTGAAATTCTCGGAAAGGGAAGAGGAAATAGAAGAAAAACTCTGGGTCATGTATGCTCAAGCATCTGCGAAGTCCTGCCCTCTTGATCCTTTACCTACGTCTTTACTGAAGGACTGTTTGGAAGAATTTTTACCACCTCTGACTGAAATGCAACCAGTTCATCACTGCAAACTGGTGAATTCCCTGACTCATGGAAAGATGTTCTTGTGTACCCAACTTTGAAGCGGAATGGACTTGACACAGTTTTCATGAACTATCGCCCAATCAGCAACTTGCAGTTTGTATCAAAGCTTGCTGAACGAGCAGTGGCTGATCAACTGTATACTTACATGATTGAATATGGCTTGATACCTGATCTTCAATCAGCCTATCGACCAGGATACAGTACTGAAACTGCCTTACGTAAGGTTAAGAATGACCTACTAATGAACATGGATAAACAATGCGTAACCTTGTTGGTCCTACTTGACCTCAGTGCTGCCTTCGATACAGTAGACCACAACGTTCTACTTAACCGCCTCTCATTTGATTTTGGCATATCAGGGATGGCCTTAAGCTGGTTTGACTCATATCTGTCAAACAGAAGTCAACGTGTCACCATTGAGGGTGCTGTTTCTGATTCGTTTGATCTGGAATACGGTGTTCCACAAGGCAGCTGCCTCGGTCCTCTGCTGTTTATACTGTATTCAAGCAAGCTATTCAGAATTATTGAAAGTCATCTGCCTCAAGCCCACGCATATGCGGATGATACACAACTGTACCTGGCCTTCAAGCCTGGCGACGATACTGATGAGAGGTTGGCTGTGAGTGCTATGGAAGCGTGTATTTCAGACTTTAAACAATGGATGCTATCTGACAAACTGAAGCTGAATCCTGCTAAAACAGAATTCTTAGTGATCGGTACCCAACAACAGCTGGAGAAAGTGAACGTCACCAATCTACAAAATGGAGAATCCAAGATTAACCAATCTTCTGTTGTAAAAAACCTGGGAGCCTGGTTTGACTCCCACTTAAATATGCATGAACAAATTAAGAAAACTAGTAGTTCATCGTTTTACCATCTATACAATATTAGAAGAATTAGGAAATACCTTTCACGTGGTTCTACCGAGACTTTGGTCCATGCTTTTATAGTGAGTAAACTTGATTACTGTAATAGTTTATTGTATGGGCTTCCTGATATTCATGTAAATAAGTTACAAAGAGTGCAAAATTCTGCTGCCAGGGTTATTGTAGGGCTTCCTCGTTTTTGCCACATCACACCATCATACCATCATAGTTCTTTTTGATTTAAACTGGTTACCTATTAGATATCGTATTCATTTTAAGATACTACTGTTAACATTTAATTGTTTACGGGGGCTAGCACCACAATATTTATCTGATTTGGTTTCAGTAAGTAAGGTTTCTAGGTATAACCTCCGGAATCATAAGGGCACTCTCCTAAATCCAGCTAGTGGGAAATGTAAAAAAACTTTAAGTGACAGGGCTTTTAAATCTGCGGCCCCTAAACTGTGGAACGCTCTTTTTGTTGAAATCAGGAATGAACTGTGTATCAGGAAATTTAAATCACTTATTAAGACATACCTTTTTAAATTAGCTTTTACTTAGAATTTTATACATCTTTATTGCTATTTACTATTTAAAACACTCATTAATAATTCATAAGCTTATGGTCCAATAGCGCAGCGCGCTGATTCTAAAAATAGCTTAAAGATTCGGACAAACATTGCATTCTGTTTAACCGCTACGAGGATTATACGAACCGATTTTATTATTTTTACTTAAAGATACGATAATAACCCATGTAAACTAAGATCAACTGCGATCGGCTGTGAAAGTTATCTGCTGAAAGTAAACTTGTAAGTTTGTTTGTCCGAATTTCGCCTTTGTCTTCGTTTTCATGACG